TATCCTTCAAATCTGAAGGCCCTGGAGCAGTTTGCAAAAGGAGAGTGGTCCAAAATTCTAGTAGAGAGGTGTAAGAAACCCATTCATGGTTACAGGAAGCGATTGATTTCAGTTATTTTTTCCAAAGGGGGTGCTACCAAATATTAAGTTAAGGGTGCCAATAATTTTGGCCAATGCATTTTTGGGTTTCTGTGTGGGATTTTATCAGATTTTACTTTTCTTCTCTTTTTTGTGTTGTTCCAATGCAAACCAAAGAAATGAACATGTGAGTACTGCAACATTTGCAACTGCAACTATTTTCTGAAAGAAGGGCTGCATTTTCTGACAGAATTGCAAGGGTGCCAATATTTCAGGGGTGCCATGAATGTAGAATAATCAAGAGAAGACAGAATCATACCACTCTTGTCATGTAGCATATTTGTTTCTTTTTTTAATTAAAAATTTTACGGAAATATTCAAAATGTTAATAAATTATCAATTTCTGCCAAATCATCTGTGCTTTCTTGGGTATTCTATGCTATGCTATTCTGAGTCTCTATGGCAAGTCCCAGTTCCCTCATTCCCTAATACTGCTACCCTGTTTCCCCAAAAATAAGACCTGAAAATAATCATAATAGTATGATTTTTCAGGATGCTCGTAATATAAACCCTACCCTAAAAATAAGCCCCAGTTAAGTGAAACCCCACCCTCCACCATTGTGCAGCATTGCACAGCAACCAGAAGATGACATGACTGTTTTTGAATAAATGTAGATTGTTGTACTTGAAAAAAATAAAACATCCCTTGAAAATAAGCCCTAATGCTTTTTAGGAGCAGAAATTAATATAAGACCTTGTCTTATTTTCTGAGAAACACAGTATTAACTAATTGATACAGTTACAAGTCAGCAACATGCTGCTGAAGAATGTACAGTATTTGAGATTGCATAGCTTTGCTTACAAAAAAGGTGAGTAAAGGGACACTTGATAATGGTGTATACAATTATGCAAGGTGTGGAAGAGGTGCCATCAAACTGGAATCCATAATCAACAACTGAAGCTGGATGTTGAAAGATTCCAGGCAGATAAAAGGAAACACGCAGTACATATTTATACTATGGAATTTGCTGCCTAAAGATGTCATAATGGCTCCCAACTTGGAGAGCTTTAAAAAGGAGATGATACAAATTCATGAAGTCTGTTGGTGGCTACTAGTCATGATGGATGCACATTCCTTCTGTATATCAGTTGCAAAGAGGTACAGGTAAAGTTAAAGGTTCCCCTTGACATTTTCAGTCTAGTTGTGTCCAACTCTAGGGGGTGGTGCTCATCCTGTTTTCAAGCCGTAGAGCCAGCGCTTGTCCAAAGACCGTTTCCGTTGTCACATGGTCAGCGTGACAAAGAAGCAGAGGGCAAATCCCTCCTGTTATGCTTTAATCTTGTTTATGAGCTTCCCAGAGGTAGGCTATCATACGAACAAAGTGCTGAACTAGAGGGGCCTTTGGTTTAGTTCAGCATGGCACTTTGCATATTATTGGTATATTAATCGTATTGCCCACCCAGACTGAGGTTACATGTAATTCATCCTATATTGTACCTTACATATAAGCTGTATTCTTCAGCACATGGTAGGAGAGTTGTGGTCTAATTCTTGAGTAAGAGAAAACTTTAAAATGCAAATCAGATGCAGATCAACATACCAGTATGACATTTCAGTTTAGTATGATCCTTAGGGTTCTGAAAGACTTCTATCACAGACTTTTCTACAGATTGTTCCTAATCAATCCTTTTTAGGTAAAGGTAAAGGTTCCCCTTGACCATTTTTGTCCAGTCGTGTTCGACTCTAGTGCTCACCCCCGTTTCCAAGCCATAGAGCCAGCGTTTGTCCGAAGACAATCTTCCGTGGTCACATGGCCAGTGCGACTTAGACACGGAACGCTGTTACCTTCCCACCGAAGTGGTTCCTATTAATCTACTCGCATTTACATGCTTTCGAAGCGCTAGGTTGGCGGGAGCTGGGACAAGCGACGGGAGCTCACTCCATCGCGTGGATTCGATCTTATGACTGCTTGGTCTTTTGCCCCTGCAGCACAGGCTTCTGCGGTTTAGCCCGCAGTGCCACCACGTCCCCTATCAATCCTTTTTAGTAGACTGAATAACAACTTTGTCCCAGGCTTATCACAGGCCATTTTAGAAATTGAGACACAGGATATAGAAATTGGTTTATAGAAATTTATTGCCCTTTATTTTAGGCTTCCCAGTCATCTGTTCTTCTCCCACTTTCTCAAAAACCTTCCATTCTGTATCAAGATCTGCAAGAATTCTGTGCAGTATTTTTTTAAAAAATATTTATTTTCTCTTTCAGGGTGCAATTCTTACCACTATGTTGGCCACAAGAAACTTCTCAGGTGAGAACTTTGCATTGCTTAATAAAGAAAAAAATTGGGGGGGGGGAATCACACCTCAACAGTTTCCATTCCCTTTTTAGTTTAAAAGAAGGTATGGAAACATCTTCTAACTGAGGCAGCCTACATGGGAGCCTCATAAAGAGACAGTGTCCAAGCTTTTCCACTAACACAGGTTTTGTAAATCAATCCCAGGCTCGGAGTGTTACATTCATTCTCTTTCTCTTCTTATTCTGGTGCTCTCTGGCATGGCAGTATTGTGATATGGAAAATAATATATTGGACCCAGGAGTAAAACACAAACTAATTTATTTTCACTGACAAGTTGTCAGGTCTGTTTCTGAACATAACATCCCTAACTGGGTAATCCGGTGTGCCCTGGGATGCCCTCCTACTATTTTCCCCATCAAAAACTCTAACTAATATGCTGTTGACCTCTCTTTCTCCACTCCCCTTGCATGCACTCATCCTCCCTTCAATTCCCTTCTTTGCTAAAGCTTTGCAGTAGTAGTTAAAGTATTTTGATGCAGTGTTGTATGCCAAGGAACATGGATCTTGCAGAAAAGCATGCTTACCAAGAGGTTCCATCTCTCTCACTACCATCCCCACCACAATATATTTCACTCTGGGCTGCATTTAGGAAGAGGAGTAATTCCCACTCCCATCTTCCAAACTATCTATAATTTTATTCCTCAAGAGATTTTTATTTCTTTTACACAACCTGATTGCAAATTAAAGCCAAATATATCCAAGAGCTTACCTGTGCATTGTGTCCTATGCCTACGCCATCAAAATCTCTTTGCCCTCTCCTTGCTATGCTCTAGTGCTTTCCCAATTTCATTAGGTCATCTTATTTTGGAAAATAATTATAAAGCTGCTATTTTAATATTAAATAGGACAACTTGAGAGTATAAGTGTTGGCTTGTGGGGTGCTAACTCTTCTAGGTGATTTTACCTTGGAGTGCGCAGGTACTATGTGTATTCCCTCATGTGCACACTTTTGGTGTTTCCTTTTTTATTCATAACCATCATAGAAGCCTTCAATGAATAAAGTGCTTTTGTTGCAGGTGAAGTGAGCTACTTTCTGACGCTAGAGAAGTAAACAAAAGTGTCTGCAGTTTGGGAGACAGAGGTTTTAAGATGGCTGAGTAGATTCCTCAAGCAAGAACCTATCCACTCACAATGTTCCTCCTTCCTCACTCACCTACAGGACTTTCTTTCCCATCACTGTTCATGGGCTAATCAAGGCCCCATGAATTGATAGCAATGGCATAATCCATATTCTGCAGCTGGGAAACCCTTGTTCTTCACGCAAGAGGGTGCTGCAAACATTTCCTAACATTATGTATAAAAGTATATTATGTAAGCACCAATAATGAAAGTGGGATTTACAGTGGTGCCTCGCTAGACGATTGCTTCGCAAAACAAGGAGTTCGTTAGACGATGACTTTTTTGAGCAGTGTTGTGCTTCACAAAACAATTGTTCCTATGGGCAATTTTTGCTGGACAATGTTTGGGTCCTTGCCTCACAAGACAATTTCCCCCCCAATTGAAACACATTAATTACATAACACCTACTTTTTTATCCCAAAAAAGTGGGGGAGAAAGTGCATGCTGCTGGGTTTCCAGGGTCTGCCTCCTAGACAAACAGCAGCATACACTTTCTCCCCCACTTTTTTGGGATAAAAAAGTAGGTCTTATGTAATTAATGTGTTTCAATGGGGGAAAAAAACATCTTGCAAAGCATCACCAATGGGGTTATGGCTGCAAATGTAAATGGTAGAGGATGGTGAAAACAGATAGGAACCAAAGGGTAAAGAGATTGTTAAAAAAAAAAACACCAGAGAAATCACAAACATATTGCCACCATTAACACAAATTATGTAGTTGAGTTCCCCACATTTGGGGAAATCACAGATCAACAGCACACCCAAAGTGCAATGGATGAGCCTCTCCCTGGGAAAACCATTTTTACAACATGGTATTTCCCATACAAGGTGTGAGTTGGAATGGCCCTTGCATGTCCTACCCCCTTCTGTCCCCTGACCCCCCCCAAGTCATGGTGACCCCCTGACTGCACCTCCCACTCAGTACAGGGCTTCACAGCCCCAGTCTTGCCAGAGGCCAAGAGAGCTCCTCAGTGTTTTGGCTACTGAAAGAACATTCTTCTTTTCACAGATACAAATGTTCTACTGCTATATCACAGTTGGAGTTTTTAGAGAATTGTTAGAAACTTACATTTATCACCTAGTGGTCAAACAGCAAGGGCAATCTTTTTCTAGACAGTTGAGCTGGGGATAGGGACCTGAGACAGCTTCATTGCCATTCCAAAGCTTTAGACCAAGTACTAGTTTGTTAGAGAGTCAGTCCAACTGAAATCAGTGGGTCTCACTCCTCAGTAAGTATACATAAGATTATGCATAAAAAGACAGCCGAAATCATAAATTAAATGAGATCTGTCTACACTCCATGGGACTTCCAAGATGCATAATATGAGTGTAAACCAAATTCTTCAAAACTGTTCAAAGGGTATTGTTTCACACTGTTTATTTGCAACCATGAGGACTAGAAACTTACATATTAAAAAAATTAAGGATAGAAGTCTTCAGATTTTAGAGAGAGTACAAGCTATATCAATGAGACCCAAGACTGCAGACACAGGAACTCCTGAGCTCCCTGCGCCCAGTCCTTTTAAAAAACACATTTTTGTTGAGCAACAACTTTAGAGCAGAGGTGGGCTGGTGGAGAGAATGTGGAGAGGAATGGAAAGACTTGTCACTTGTCCCCTTAGAAAAGAAACAAGATAAATGACCTTCAGCAGAATCTTCTAAAATATATATATGCAGCAGATTTAGAACTCAGCTGTGTCACATCAAGCTTACTGCTGGGAAGTGATCGTGTAAAGAATCCAAAAATAACAGTCATTAAAGACATAGCAACCAGAAACATGTTTACAGGCCCATTAAAATCTCAGTAGTTTCGCTTATCGAGCAGAGGTGATAGCAAGATTGCCTCAATCAGCAACCGGCAGCCAGTGCAAATTTTTCAGAACCGGCGTGATATGAGTCTGTGCGGCGGCATCACTTACCAGCGGCGCAGCCCGGTTCTGTGCCAGTTGCAGTTGTCGGACCGTCTTCAAAGGCTGCCCCACATATAGCACATTGCAGTAGTCCAGTTTTGATTTCCCTGGTTTTTCTAGATTCCTTTTCACGTCTCTTTCTCTTCATCAGGACCTATTGCAAAGGCAGTAAGTCCTGGTGATATCTTTTATTGCATTCTCTCTCTTTTTCTCCCATGTGGTAAAGGATAAGGGTAAAAGGAGTCATCATTATCAGGAGCCGGGGGCTACTTTGATTCCTTTTATCTTCTTTCTTTGTTGCTGGAGAGAGAAAGAGGGGGGAGGCTATCTGAGACCCATTGAATTTCCAAAGGCAGTGCAGGTGAGGGGATTACTTTTCCCCAATGTGGTATGGGGAACTGTGTTTTGCAAGATGATGTTTTCTATGGACAATTTTTGCAAGACAGTGATTTTTCCCAATTGGAATGCATTAAATGGATTTCAATGCATTCCAATGGAGAACTGGGTTTCACAAGATGATGTTTTCACAAGACAGCGATTTCCATGGAACGAATTTCCATGGAATGAATTAAAATCGTCTTGCGAGGCACCACTGTATTTAATTCAAGCCATAAAATCCTTTCGGGACAGTTTGTAATTTCTGGACATAAAGTGAGTGTCAGCAGGCAAAAGTGACTGAGAAGCAGGGACATTTTGGAGAAGAAGAAGCCAAGATGGCCAACTGGTTTTGAAAGAAGGTGTGATCTGTGGCTAAAAGAATTCAAAGCCTTTTTGTTTCACTCCAGGCCCATTGCTAGCTACAGGGATTGATTGAATCTCCTGGAATTTTAGCTGGGGAAGCCATTGGATATTAATGCCTGCCTGATCCTCCCAGCTGGAGAACAGGTGATAGGTACCATGTCCCTTCCTTCTCCAACCAACTTCTTTTTGCCCCTGAATAGTTCTATGACACAGTTGCCAAATTCTGTGAGGATCTCTGCAGTCACATGATTACAGGGTAATCCTAACTAATTCAGAGGCCTCCGAACTTGGTGAAGTAAGGTGGATGTGGCATTTACAAAATGATTCCTCAATCATGACACTTGATAAACAGAATAAAAGAAAACTCAAAGACAATTTAAAAATTGTATGATTAATAAATCATGTTACCATGATGCCTTGATGTTCTAAAGAAACACTAGAAACCACTGCAGAAATGGTATATGGCTCGCATATTTCTCATGCTACATAATACTTGATATCTTTCTAGCAGTCTCAAATACGGGTGTTTTTCTTTATTGTTCTATGCATCTTATATCCCTGCTACAATCAGTGGCATAAGATTAGTTCTGGTGAAATTTGCACACTTTTGTGCTCCATCTTAGGGTGTAAAACCCAGTAGCATTAAGGGAATCTTCTAAGATCTACAGAACTCTTGATCTTGTGACCTGATTATATTGTCCCATCCTAATATTGCACTGAGAGGGGTTCCCAGAAAAGAGTAAGGATATGTTTAGGAATGACACTTCATCAGATGGCAAGGATCCATGGAATGTGTACTGGTGAATGCACGTTTGCTACCAATAGTCATGCCTCTTCATCTCAACTTTAACTCTAATCTTTTCTGCTTCCTTTGTCTCCTTTCTTTCCCCTTCTTTCTTTCCCTCACTTTCTCTGTCTCTGTCTCTCTCTGTTTTTCTGTAATTCTTACCCCATCCCTTTCCCTATTTGCTGTCCTTTATTTCTTTGTTTCCCTACGTGGTGCTAACAGTGGGCAGACAGACCACCGCTCCTGCCACAATGTCTGCAGCAGCCTCCGGTGCCACCATTGGGTTGGTGGAGCAAGGTAGATGTGTTCAGAAGAGACCTTCCTCACTTCCCCCTTTTCACTTTGGAGTCTGAGTGCATGATGTGTTATTCACCATAAGCACCTCATCCCACCCTGTTTGAAAATCCAGGGCAACTTCTTTAAAAAAGCAAGGTCAAATACAGATAGGCTACCTCTGAAAATAACTGTCTTGCCTTCCAGTGGTATGGCAGTTCCCGCTTGTTCTATCAGGTTGTTAGTTGGAAACACTATCATGAAAGCATTATAGGTAAATAATCAATAAGGGTTCCTACGATTAAGACCAGTTATTGCTAAAATGGAGCAATAATTTTAGCTTAGAGTATAAAGTGAGGAAAACAGGGCAGATTTTTAATGGAAGAAAGGCAAGATTTATGTTTGGGTGGTATAGCTTTCAGTGGGGAAGCATTATGGCACATCTTTCAAAAATGGCATCTCCATACGTACTCTAAAGCTGGCTGGATAGCTTATTGGGCTAAATTCCTGGCTGTGGAGCCAGACGTTGGGAGTTCAATTCCCCCCCTGTGCATCTTAGAAGAGCTAGTCTGTGTCGCCTTGGGCAAGCTGCACAGTTCCAGGGTGCCCCCAGAAGAAGGGGATGGTAAACAATTTCTGAGTAATCTATACCTCAAAAACCCTGAAACAGGTTGCCATAAGTCAAATTGTCTTCACAGCATACAATGACAACACTAAAGTGCCACAATTTACTCTTATGCTTTAAAAAAAACCCACAGTTGACAAGCCAGGTGCCAAACAAGACAGGAAGCAAAATGCAAAAGTGGCTTCAAGAGAGTTGTGTGCACTTCTTGTTGGACAATCACCTTCATCCATCAAGAAATGAGAGGTCAGTCCAGAAAGTCTTCAGACACAACAAAGGCTCCCAAGGGAAGGTTTTATGTCCTGAATAGGAGAGGCAAGTGCCATGTTGAAAGTGGTTATGCTGTACTTTGGATCTGGTCAGTAATGGTTCCTTAGTAACTAAGGAAGCAAAATCATTTGGGTAGTTGTTGGGCAGCCCAAAAGCCACACCAGGGAGAACTGAACATGGTTCTCACCTAGCAGGTGCCATCAGAAAATGAGAGGTGATCCTAGAAAGTTCTGCATAGTGCAGAAGACTCTGCAGTGAACTCTTATTTTTTTATGCTTTCTGATTGCCAGGTGATACATAGGGCTTGAAAAAATTAGGGTTTTGGACTACAACTGCAAGAATTTCCTAAACTGTTTTGATAAGTGGTTGGGGGACATTGGTCATAATTATACAGAAATGAAATGTCTCCAGATTAATGTTGGTGGGGTGATTGGCATTCCATAAAAAGTTGCTTGAGATAAAGATGATGTCAGGATGGAATGGGGACTTTAGCATAAAAGTTTTGGAAATGCACTAGCCCCATAAGCTGTAATTGTTTGTTAGTGGTTACATTCTTGGCTATGTAAAAATATTCACAGCATGGCAATGTTCCCTTCCAGTGGGCAAAAGAGCTGTTCTGGAGTTATTTGATTGTCAGCAGTGTAGCAGCCCTGTAGTGTTTCAACCCATTCATCATGACAATGCTCTGGGTGCTGCTTTAACAAGCAAGGCAAATTGCCTTTGATATTTCTCAAAGGAAAGCTGAAATATTACATTCTTTGCTCCCTGGCCTTTTATTTTGATGTGGAACGTACTCTGATTGGGAACAAAGAGAAAGATGTATGTATTCTTTAAAGCAGCTCTCGTGAAGTTGTTACTTGTTTTCTCACTGAGAAAAATTAAGTTGTTTTCCCTATAGAGTACTGTTTATTTGAGCATATCATGTAGGTGTAATTCTCTTACTAACAGTAGTGTGTGCCTGTGTTCGTGAGCTGAGTCATAAAGGCAGATGGTTTTTTTTGCACCACTACAGAGTCAGTCTCTGTTTCGTGGTTTTACTTTTCAAGGCTTACATTCAGTCACCAGTAAGGTAAAGAGAATCATATATTTTTTTCCCTATTGAAATAGGACAGGATTCCCCAAGAGTGTTCCTTCTTTTTCCACACATAAAATGGAGGCTTAAGCATGAACCTCATAGACTGATCTACGTATTGAGGAAAATCTTATTGCTATGACTTTGTGTGGCATAACCCAGATGGGGGGGGGGATCATTTCTTTTAAAGTAATTAAAAGCCCACCCGCCCCCATTTTGGGTTCTGAGACTGCCTAGGGCTCCCCTTTCCCCTAGGAATAATAGGAAAAATCTCTGTCACATGGCTGTTGCCCATTCCTGATATAGTGATTTTTTTTTAATTAAAGGCTTCAACCCACCCCATCCCAAGGCCCCCGTAGGCATCCCCAGGGCAGAAGGAAACTCTAGGAAGCCTTGGAACCTTAAAGGAGGGGGAATACACAGCTTTTAATTACTTAAGTTGCTTCCATCACCAGATTTGGGTTGTACCAGTGGAAGGTTATATAACAAGATTTTGTCCATTGATTACTTGTTTTAATATCATGGAGAGGTTGCAGGGCATCACACTGCACTTTGATTTCCACTCATGTGAAACATCATAGCTTAGACTCAGAAAATGAGGTGTTGCTACTTACTGCTAGCTCAGAAAAATTTAATCCACTTGTGCAAAAAGGCTGTTGCATGGTTGGATCGAATAAACAGGATTCTTGCCTAATTAATTTGTGTTTCCTATCAGTTTGATCATCCTGGTATAGCTACTAAAATGAATTTGTTCACTTCTGCTGTAAGATCAATTATGCATCAGGAGTGTGGTTCCAGTGTTTTATTTAACTGTGGAAGAAGAAGAAAATAGTTGTGCCCTCACTATGTTTACTTTTTGTAATCCTGATCTCATTGAGTAAAAGTTCATATCCTCAATTATATGGTTATACTTTTGATTTTATCTGGCTCCATCTGGTTGTGGGCCTTTAACTTAGCCATACATTTTTTTACTTGGCCCTGGACAATCATTGCATATGAGCTTCAGTAGCCCATTTGTAAATGGCACTAATAGTAAGCTGGATGCTAAAAAGATGGATGAAATGAGGTTTGTAAAATCAGAAATCGTCAACAGGTGCTTGTCGCTCATATGCTGTTGGAGTAATGCATTTAAAGACTTCAGATAGCATACCCTGATTGACTTCAGTGGCAAGGATATAGTGGTTAGAATATGTCCCCTACATATCCAGTTAACATAGACAATTCTCAGGCTATGCAGACAAGGGTCCCCTCAATGCCTTTTTTCATGCCAACTCTCAAGTAGATGTTGGCTCTTTGCTCGTCCTAGTCATTTGCCCTGTCTGCACCCCACTTTGCCTGCAGGTTGAATGTACTAAATGATGCATGAATGTTGTGTAATCCAAATGCATGCTTCAGGACTTTGTCCAGTCAAATTTTTCCTGAAAAGATGGACGAGGGCTTCTGCTTATGTCTCTGCTCATATTGGCACTGCATGTGGGAAAAGTGATCTGCATGGTAGGCAGCAGTGATGTGACTAATCTGAGCTAATCTAGTCAGTATTAATGCCACTGTAAAAAAACACTTCTAAGAATTTCAGTATGAATGCAATGAAATGAAGACGCAAATGAGAAATTATACCAGAGCATCAGATCCTTGAAGCAATAGATTCCACCTTGATGTATCTTGTGATGTGTCTTGTGAAGGCTGAGTTTTTGAAAGTTGCACCATGATTCTGGATAATGTATTTCACCCATAGCATCTAATAAATTATGTCAGCTAAAGAGTTATGAAATCCAGATTTGTACATCTTGGCTATAAAATGGCAAGGCAAATGACATGGAAGTAAAGGCGTACAGAAAATAAAATTAAAATGTGAGTTATCAAGAATGGATTCCAAGTGAATGAAACTAAAACCTAAAAATAGTTTTGAAAGATGATTGGAATTTTGACAAAAGCAGTAAATTGCATCTCTTTCACTTAATCCACCAAGAATATCAGTGAAATGCAGACTGTTGTTACCTGGAAACATTTCTCCTCTAACTTAACATACTTGCACTTTATAATTTTTTGCAAACTTTTGGTAAATCCTGGTTTAATTTGTGAATTAGTGGCATTAGAAATTCAAATTTTTATTAGCAACATTTGGTAAAGTTATATTTCTTGACTGCAGCTCCCAGAATCCTCCAGCCATTGTAATCACTGGGGAATTCCTGCAGGTGTAGTCCAAAAAGGAATGTTTCCACCCTTTGTTTACTGTCCAGCTTCAAAATCACCTGTGTGATTCAGTCCTATATACTAGCTTCCCACAACTGGCATCGTCCATAATTGTTGAAGTGCATTATACATCATGTCCACTCTATGTGCTTGGAAGACTACCTACTGAACTTTATGGGGTTTGCCTTTGAGTAAATTTCTCTGAACATTGCTTTTTAAAGGTAGCTGTCTTTTTATTCAGATAAATTGGTTGAGATGATGTATATAGCTCAATGACAGCAAAAGTTTTGCAAACAGAAGAAAACTGCACATATACTATCTTAAATTTATGGTGAGTTAAAGGTTAATTGTGTTATTTTATTTTTTTACATTGCAAAACCATTCAGTAACCAGAGTTCTCTGTGCAACATGCACATTGAAAAATTAAAATATAAGATAGATTAAAGGAACTGGCTGAAGAACTCTCAGAACCACTGTCTATTACTTTCTTGAAATCATAGATGATGGGTGAAATGCAGGATAACTGAAGGAGGTCTAATTGTGTCCCTATCTTCAAAAAGGAGGAACCTAAGAACTACTGACCAGTCAACCTGATATCGATCCCAGGGAAAATTCTACAGCAGATTATAAAGTAGTCACTCTACAAGCACCTTGAAAACAATCCAATAATTACTGGAATAATAACTATAGCTAGCACAGGTTTGTCAAAAGGAAATCCTGCCAGATTAATCTTATCTCGTTTTTGATCAGGTAACTTCCCTGGTAGATGGTAGGAATGCTGTAGACATAATATATCTTGACTTCTACAAAGCATTTCACAAAGTGCCTCATGATTAGTAAGCTAACTAAGTGTGGACTGAATGGAAA